ATGTTGTGGGGTTGTTAACCAATGTCATAAAACAACATGTGTACTACTGTTTCATGAGAAACTATTTGTTCTGTAAGCCTTCACTTGAAGTACAACAAAATATAAAAAAAAAATCAGAAGATGGGCCAGATTTGACCACGGGCCTTAGTTTTTCAACTGCTGCTCGATGAGATGGGTACTATCATTATCTTCATTTTACAGATGAGGAAACTGAGGCACAAAGCCTAAGATCTGACATGAAGTCTGATTACAAAACACACCTAGTAGTATTATATTGTAGTAGCTGCTGCTATCATCGTCATGATTATTAAGACCGAAGGCAATCCAAATCCAGGTTTTCCTAATTCAGAAGATACCGGCCAGTCAGTCAGTCAACAACACCCCTAGAGCTACCTCTAAGCTTGAAGGTTCCCCTGAGGTTCCTGACTGAGGTTCTCTCTTCCTCCTTGGAACCCTCAGTGCCCTTATTTCCTGTACCTCCCACAATAGCTTTATTTTATGTTGTCTTTTGTTTATTACATTCTTTCTCCCCAACCCCTCTGGAGGCCAGAATCTTGCATATCACAAGCGGTCAATTCATATGTGTTCACATATCAGTGAACAAAACTGTAGCCGATTAATTGGAAGAACTGGACTCAGGGGCTATGGCACCCTTATTTTGTATGTCTTCCGGATTGCCTTTTATTTATTATGTGCATTCTCCCAGCGCCTTTGGAGGTCAGTATCATACAAATCACAGTTGGTCAATTCACACATGCTGAATATGCCAGTGACCCCGTTTGTAGTTGTACCCAGGCTGAATCGCTAGACGCCTGGGGACAGAGGAGGAAGATGACCAACCCACTCACTCACCAGTCCGTGGCAGGCACTGAGAGCTGCGGTCCCGATTCTGGTACCCTGCTGCAGAACTGTGCCCCTGAGATGGCAGGGGGGCCCGGAGGAAGGGGCCATCTTAACATGGGAGAGGTTCCCGTACCGCCTCTCCACGATGTAGCTACTGGAAAGAAATTCCCGATGGACTGTCAAGTTAAAAAACAGGTCCTTCTCCTCGTGCGAAATCCTATAGTACACCTGGTCATCTGGGCCATCCAAATCTCTCTTCCACCTGCTGCTGGTGATGGGATGGTGCAAGCCATAGGAAATGAAATTCCCACTCGCATCCACTCGGACAGGCCCCACCACATGGTAGTCAGGCAGAGCCTGGACAAAATGTTCTGAAAGAAAGGAGACACAGGGTAAAATGAGAGGGAGCCCTGTGGGGTCTGTAGCAAGTCAAACACACAACCATTTGGAACTTAGATTCTAGCTTGTTGATTGCAAAACCCTACTTTGACTGAAAGTGTAAAGATCCTTTCCATCAGACAAATATAGTCAACATCAGACTCCCCGAACAACACAAATTCACATGGTGTTCCCTTGATGCAGTGTGGGCATCTGAGCCAACCCTGTGGCATAGTTCTGGACAGCAGGGGCTATACCAGAGACACATTAAGACAAGAATTCATTCATGGGGAATACTTTCAGGAAAGGGTCAAAGTTAGCATTATAAGCAGAAGCACTTCAAGTCTAGAGTTCATTAATACAAATCACAGAGTTTCACTATTTATTATGAGGAGCTTAAATGCTTAATAAACTTCCATTAAGTCAGGTTAGATGAAAAAACAAAAACACAGCAAACCCAATCATACACAATGACAAATCTCAAACCAACTTGTAGCAAAATTGCTTAAAAGAACTTGTTTTTTCTACAAAATACACAAAATAAAATGGTAACTGAATACATTAGGATGTCTGAAGCATAGGCTCAAAATACGAAAATTGCCACTTTAAAGATGCAATACGGCAACACGAAAGGTTGGTGGTTCAAACCTACCCAGAGGCTCCTCAGAAGAAAAGCCTGGCAATTTGCTTCCAAAAGATCACAGCATTGAAAACCCTATAGAGCAGTTCTACTCTGACACACACAGGTTGGCATGACTCAGAATTGACTTGAGAACAACAGGTAATCTTTTTTTTGTTTCAGGAAAATAAATAGTCTACTTGCCACTATCTAGCTGTACCCCTTGCACTTTCTGGCTTTGTTCATGTTACTTTGTCACTTTGTTCATGTTACTTCCCTAACTAGAAACTCTCTCGTACTCTGTCAAAGTCCTGTATATACTTTAAAGCTCTAACTCAAATCCTCCCTCTTCGTTCCCCTGAGGTTCCTGGTTGAAATTCCCTCTCCCTCCTTAGAACTCTCAGTGCCCTTATTTCCTGTACCTCCCAGAACGCCTTGATTTTACATTGCCTTTTGTTTATTACACTCTTTCTCCCCAACCTCTTTGGAGGCCAGGATCTTGTATACCACAGATGCTCAATTCAGGAGTTCATGTAGCACTGAGAGAGCAGTAGCGGTTCAGTAGTAGAATTCTCGCCTTGCATGCAGGGAACCCAGGTTTGATCCCCAGCCAATGCACCTCATGTGCGGCCACCATCTTTCTGTCAGTGGAGGCTTGTGTTTCACTGTGATGCTGAACAAGTTTCAACAAGCCTTTAGACTAAGATGGACTAGGAAAAAAGGTCTATGGATCTACTTAAAAAAATCAAGAAATGAAAACCCCATGGATCACAACAGACATGCAAGGCATCATGGGCATGGTGCAGGACCAGGTAGGGTTTTGTTTTGCTGTGTATTTGGTAGCCGTTTAAGTCAGAAGCCGCTAGAAGGCAGTTAACAAAAATACAACAATGAATCAGTGAACGTGTTCGTAGCTGGTTAACTGGAAGAACTGGACTTGATGAGTTTTTTTGTTTTGTTTTTGTTTCAGACATACTCTGGGGAATCGTTCTTTGCCTTGGATTAAATATTGGACAGAGCAAAGAGTTTTCACTCTCAGGCACTAACAAATAGTTATTACCTTTCAGGTGTCAAAAATTCTAAACCTCTTGCTTCTAACTGCAACCATTAGAAACAGACCACATAGCAACATAAAAAAAAAATCTGAAAAACAATGTTCAATGAAAAACAAGAAACAGAACAAGTTAATACAGAGCCATTTACATTAATGGAAAATACACACACATAAAAACAATAATACACAGTTTCCAGAACACATGAGAAAAAAAAATACATATGGAACCCATTAAAGTGGTTTTCTATGGGGAGAGAGGGGAAGAGGGTGTGGGGACAAAAAATGCATAAATAAATAAAGCAAAAAAAGATTTTTCAAAAATTAATGATGTTAGTGTGCCATGAACTGAGAAGTACCATTGACTCAATCCTCTGTGCCATCCACACCTCAAAAATATCTAGATCTATCTAGTATCAAATTGTCACTCCAAGTTCAGACCTGAAGAGAGAATTGGCCAGGGTGGGGTGGAGTGGGATAGATTTAGTCAGCTTGGTAGTATTTCTCCCATGTTGCCCTTGTCTTCTACTCACAGTGATGCCTCTGGCTCCTTCAGGGTTGGAGCAGTGGAGGTAAATTAAGAGCAGAAAATGTCTTACTCAACTGGGTACAGTAGTCATCTGGCCATGGTGTCCTCTGTGTGTGGTCTATGTCCAAATGCTGACTCCTTCCGCCAAAGCGGGCTCGTGTGGGTTTGGGGGAGACTTCTGTCACTGGTAACATCCTACCTCCAGATCCCTCAATGTGGGTAATCTCTCCTTCAACTGGTCACTTATGATTCCACTCTCAGCCTTTCCACCATCCATCTTTTTATTGAAGCCACCTCACCCCTACAGGGTATCTTCTTTGGCAAGGCCCCTTTCAAGATGATCCAAGTCTGGTTCCCTTCCATGGGGTCCAACTCTGGCCCACAGGAAATAACCATGATACCTGCCCCACCAAACTCAGGGAAAGCAGGCCATTTTTGGTAGAGCCATGTTCTTGGCTCTGTCACCAGAGGCCATTCCACTCAGCGGTCTATTGGCATTTTAAGACTAAGACACCAGTCTCCATGTTCCCCAAACCCACATAGTACTCTCTGAGGTCTCTGAAGGCTTCTTCATTTGCCTTCACCTGGGAGGAAGAACCCCATGGAGAGTAGAGGGAAAATCCCCAGCACTCTCTCTCCTGAACATATTCTCTCTCCAGTATCTTTCCATTGATCTTTAAGCCTTCCCCTATGTACAGACAGAAAGGTCCCTAGGTGGCACAGTTTGTGCTTAACTACTAACCAAAAAAGGAGCCCTTAGGACGCAGTGGCTAAAGCAATCAATTGCTAACCAAAAGATAAGTGGTTGGAAACCACGAGCAGCTCCACAGGAGAAAGATGTGGCAGTCTGCTTCTGTAGAGATTTACAGCCTTGGAAACCCTATGGGGTCATTATGAGTTGGAAGTGACTCAACAGCAGTGGACCACTAACCAAAAAGTTGGTAGTTCGAACCCACCCCTGTGGTGCCACAGAAGAAAGGACTGGAAATCTGTTTCCATTAAGATTACAGCCAAGAAAACCCTAAGGAGCAGTACTACTCTGTATCACATGGGGTAGCCATGAGTTTTTGGTTTGTGTACACATGAGGAAGATGAAGGGCTTAGAATCACATCATCTCTTTGCAAGTTCTGCACATGCAGATGGAATTTCTCTCTAAAACATATGGGAAAGTATTAACCCCATTTTTCCCTCAGATTTAATGTCTCAGCAGAAACTGGGACGAAAGGAAAAGTCCCATTTTAATACCTTGTTACATCTGCAAGTCTCTGCATCTCCATCGAAGCAGAGAAACAAGTGCCTCTTCTAACAGATTATTTTTCCAAAAGTCATTATTACTGATCAATTTAAGGGGAACAGAAATTAAAGTCAATTTTTTAAATGAATTCTGAATAGAATATATACTCCAACCTAAATGAACTATGATGTATTGAACAAGATTGAAAAGAGTTGAACATGTTTTATTTGTTATACCCCAAAATTGGCTATAATACATTCACTTAGTCAGGAAATGGAGACTAACAAGAACACTTTTAAATCAATCTTAAGTTTTTAGAAAATTACTTTACATATACTATTTATGTAAATTGATATGTCAAAACAATGTATAAATATACTTAACAATTATGGCAATTATGCAGAAATATGGCACCATGCACAGAATGATACGCTGCCTGGGCCTGCACCATCCCTATGATTGGTTGTGCACCATTGTAATCCACAGGGTTTTCATGGGCCAATTTTCACAAATAGATCACCAGGCCTTTCTTCCTAGTCTGTCTCAGTCTAGAAGCTCCACTGAAACCTGTTCAGCAACATAGCAACACACAAACCACCACTGACAAGACAGGTGGGTGGCTGTACATGAGATGCACTGGCCAGAAAATGAACTCAGGTCTTCAGTAGAGAAGGCAAGAATTCTACCATTGAACCACCAATGTCCCCATCTCCTTAGTACTACTAAAAGGAAGTCTGCTCAGAACATTCTCCTTTATAAACCTAAATATATATGCATCTGTGACAAACTCAGAGCTAGTTTCAATAACAGATACTCTCCGCACCTAACCCTAAATGTGACTAAGGAAAACAACCACTTCCCACTTTCCATGCAGAAAGCAAGGCTGCAGCGGGGTCTATCCCACACAGAGCTGAATTCGATTACAAAGAAGCTGTGGAGCAGGCAGAGCTGAAAACCAACCCAGGAGAATGTGTGTCTTTGAACCAAATCATCTCCAAACGCCCTGGGAAGTGCTAGCAGGCTTTGTTTGCGCTGCCGCAGAAGAAAAGAGAGACTTTTCACAAAGGGACTGTTTTTCAAAGAACAACAAACCCTGCTATTTTAAACTTGGGGGTGGGAGATTGTATCTGTTTACACAAGCATGTGCTGGCTGACTGACATCTAACCCCAGCGTTTACTGCCTCCAGCTTCCAAGTAAAGCAAAGGGAGAAACTGTTTTTGGGAGCTCTTGAAGCCATGGCAAACGAGCTCTCCAGCAGTATCTGAACTTTGCAAGGTGGGCAGAAAACCTTGCTTAGAAATTCTAAACGAGGTTTGTCACCTGAGTGATCCTGGGAATCAAAGGGACACTGCAAAGCTATGGAGGACACTTCCCAAGATCTGAGCACAGTCAGCAAACACAAGACTTAGTGAATGCTAATCCAGTGCTTGTGTGTGTGTGTGTGTGTGTGTGTGTGTGTGCGAGCGTGTATTAACCTATTATGAGGAGTCCCTGGGTGGTGCAAACAGTTAACTCACTTGCCTGCTAACCAAAAGGTTGTCAGTTCCAGTCCACCCAGAGGCTCCTCAGAAGAAAGGCCTGGCAATCAACTTTCAAAAAAATCAGCCATTGAAAACCCTGCAGAGCACAGTTCTATTCTGACACACATGGGGTCATCATGAGTCAGAGTTGACTCAACAGCAACTGGTACTGGTATGATGCTGAACAAGCTTCAGGGGAGCTCCCAGACTAAGATAGACTAGAAAGAAAGTCCTGGTGATCTACTTCTGAAAAAACAGCCATCCATAACCCTGCGGAGCACATTTCTACTCTGACACAAATGAGGTCGCCATGAATCGGACTCGATTCCATGGCAACTGGTTTTTACTCTATTATTGCTAAGGGACAGCGCTGCTTGATTGTAAGAGCTCAGCCTCTGGGGTCGGACTACCTGGGTTCAAAACCTTGCTCCACCATTATCTAGACCCGTAAACTCTCCAAGCTTCAGTTTCCTCATTTGTAAAACAGGCAAGGTGACAACAGTACCTGTACCTCCTAATGCGATTTTCAGTGGTCAGATAAGCTAACACACAGTGACTTTAACAATTGTGGCACATGATACATGCTCAGTACAAGTAGCCATGACGGCTGCTATGATGGCTGTTTCCCAGAGGCACGAGGAACTCCTCACCAAGCAAGAAAGCATCTCTGGCCTTTCCAAGTCCTATAAAAGGCAGAGGCAACAGTACTACCCTGCTCAGGGTGTTATGCTTAAAAAATAATAACAACAAGAAATTGTCCATTACAGCTCTTCCAGTGCTCTCTAAAACACTGAAGTTTCACGAACTTCAGAAAGAGAAGCAGCCGACTGTGATCAGGAATGTAGGGCAGAGAAATGTAAGCCCCTACCAATATACATATCCTCCAAAGGGACTGTTATGTTTAAAAACACAACCCTAAATCTTTCCAGGAAACCAAAACACAGCCAAGCTCGCTCAACAGGGGGCCGGAATTGCATTTGCGCTTCCCTGGCCAGAAGTTTAAAACTAACTGCAACCAATGCCTGGCGGAGAGTGGTCAGTTAGAATTAAAAAAAAAGAAAAGTCATTTTCCATGTTCAATATTGAAAAACAGCGGTTGAAACAGTGCACCGTTCAAAGACGAGACAAAAGAAAAGAAAGGGTCTGAGAGAGAGAGAAGAGGTTACCAGCTACCTCTGGGATCTTTCAAAGGCTGCAGTGTCATTAATGTAAAAGGGATCGCGATGCTCATCTTTCAATAAGAATTAACGAATCACTTTAAATACTGTCAATTCTGGAAACGCTATGCTCCTGAGCTCCCAGCCCAGATTCCTTTACAACTCAGCACACAGCTTTGCAGAATCCGAGTTTAGCCCGATGGGGGAAGGGAAAAGGGAGTCACCAAGTCGCCACATCACTTCACACCACTGTTCTAAAAAGAAATAAAGCGAAGCCACTAACCTTGCCTCCTGTCCGGGAAGCGAACCGTGCCTGGCTGAGGCTGTCGCCCATAGCAGAGCGTCCCAAAGTTAAGGAGGTGGGCAAGAACGGAAAGGTTTGCAAGCCAACTCCTCTGGGCACATGGCATGATTCAGTTGTCGGGGAGAAGAAAAATAAGAAAGTTTGAGCCTTCAGCTCAAGAAATCGAGTTCTCGCCTGGGGCTGGGCTGGCAGATGCAGGGGCGCATGGTCCAGGAGTGGAAAGCCAGCGCCTGCGAATCGGCCCACGACCTCCCTTTGCTTTTCTGAGCAGAAAGGGGCTAGGTACCTTTGTCCCCCTCCCTGCCCTGAAAAGGGAGTGATTTAGCTGACAATGTCTGCGTTCCGAGGGGTGTGGTACGGGTCGCAGCAAAGGGCGCAGCCCACCCCGGTCCCCACCCCTCGGCCTTCCGCACGCCCAGATCGCATCTTTCTCCGGGACGCCCATCCCCGCGCTCTCCGGCCCCGCCCAGAGCCCAGGCCAAGCCGGCCAAATAGGGGAGCCCCGGAGAGCCACCCTGGGCGGGGGAGGAGGCAGCCAGATGGACTCGACGAAGCACCAAGTGAGAGGTTCCCAGGCCAGCCCCACACTGGGCCGAAATACTAGCGGAAAAAGTTGAGCACAGAGTGGGGAAGAGAGGACCCCAGTCCCTTCGTCCTCCCAGCTCGGTGCTGCCCCCTTCATGCTGTTCTCCTTCAAGTTCTTGAAATTTTCCCAAGACTCCTCACTCAGTCATACTTCTCTAGGATTCTCTTCCAGGAGCGCTAAGACTTCCATTTGAAAAAGTCATGGGCAATTTTCTCTTTGCCAAGCCACAGAAAGGGAAAAGGTCCAGCTAATCTGCTAGTGTGACCATGAACAAGTCCTGTTTATCTGTAAAATGATTGGACCAAATGGCTGTGGGTCTCTGGGCCTTTTCTGAGTTTGCAAGTCTCCATGACGTTTTTCTAATCGTATAACCCCATCTCTCTTGACATATTGCATTGGACTGATCTGCTGCAAAAGACCTCTTTAAAGTGTTAAAAAGCAAAGATGTCGCTGTGAGGACTAAGGTGCACCTGACCCGAGACATGGTTTTTTCAATTGCCTCATATGCATTCGAAAACTGGACAATGAATAAGGAAGACCAAAGATGAATTGATACCTTTGAATTATGGTGTTGGTGAAGAATATTGAATATACCATGAACCGCCAGAAGAACAAACAAATCTGTCTTGGAAGAAATACAGCCAGAATGCTCCTTAGAAGCGAGGATGGAGAGACTCCGTCTCACTTACTTTGGACATGTTATCAGGAGGGACCAGTCCCTGGAGAAGGACATCGTGCTTGGTAAAACAGAGAGTCAGCAAAAGACAGGAAGACCCTCAGCGAGATGGACTGACACACTGGCTGCAACAATGGGCTCAAACATAGCAACAATTGTGAGGATGGCGCAGGAATGGGCAGTATTTCCTTCTCTTGTACGTAGGGTCACTATGAGTCAGAACCAGCTCGATGACACCTAATAGCAACAATAAATCTCTCTTAGCCCACCCACCCGACTCAAAAGGAAAACGGTGAGTGGAGGAAGTCAGCTGTAGAAAATGTTAAGATATTTATCCAGTTTACTTGAATGGGCTGCCCATGGAGGGGACTTCCATTCAGAGGTTCCAGCTTTAAGTGACTGAGAGAATGCCACAAACCAGGGAGCTTGCCAGGCATTCTGAGAATCTACTAGAATAATCAAGTCAAGATTTTCTGCCTCTGGTCTGAAACAAGCCAATGGGGGTTGTGCACCTACTGTGGGAATGCCTCCTTACTCCATTCAGGAGGAATTTGGCCCCAAGGGCTAGTGCTCTCTGGCTTCCGGCCAATCACAGGCATGCAGCAGGAGGTTCGGCATACCAGCACACCCAGCCTTGCATAGGGGCAGGAAAGCCAAGTCAGCCATAGTGGCCCAAAGGTGAGTGCTCCTCACAGGCCTGGGATGGGGAGACTAATGGCATTCAAACTGAAATACCCACACATCCAGACTGTCCAAGGGAAATGTACTAGTTTTCTATTGGTGCCGTAACAAATTGTCACATTCTAGATGTCAGAAGTCCAAAATGGGTCTTACAGGGCTAAAATCAAGGTGTCAGCAAGGCTGTGCTTGTTTCTGGAGGTTCTAGAGAGGCAAATCTTGATTTTTTCCAGCTTCTAGTGGATGCCTGCATTCCTTGGCTTGTGGCCCCTTTCCACCTTTAAAACCAGCAATGGCAGGTGGTCAAATCACAGCACTCTGACGTTCTCTTGTGCCTCCCTCATCCACATTTAATGATGATTATGATTACTTTGGGCCTACCCAGATAATCCAGGATAATCTTCTTATTTTAAGGTCAGCTGATTAGTGGTCTTAATTCCATCTGCACCTTTAATTGCCTTTTGCTATAACATATTCACCAATTTCAGGGATTCAGACATTTATGGGAGGCATTATTCTGTCTACCAAGGGTACCTGAGCATGGAGAATTCTAAGCCAATCAAATTCCAGATCCTTGACTCCCATATGTATTCTTTCCTGCATCTTACTGATCAGAGAGTATCTGCGTTCTAAGCCCTTTTGCCAGTTCTCCTTTCCCTCACCCTTTTCACAATCATCCTTCTCCCACTTTTCAAAAGAAAGGCTTACCCCTCACCCACCTTCAGTCTCCTTAAGGTGCATAGCCCCAGGGTGAAAAAACCTCCAAAGTGTTAAAAGATCAACTCCAAATATTGCGCTAGTGAAGCACCTCGGATGGCACCTGCATCTAACTCATTTGGAGGCGTAGTTCCAACTTATATTTAATGTATTTTGACCTGTCTTACACCAATAAATGAATCCTGAGGAAATTTTTAGCAGACTTTGTGGTCATGGAAAATTATTTTAAAATTGAATTTCTATGAATATTTTTGTTGAAGACAAGTATTGTAGAACAATCGAAAAGAACTTGAGAATTAAAATAGTATATTAGAATAAAATTCTGGGGGAAATGGAATGGAAATATAATTTTAAAGAGATGAAAAATTTGTGACAGAAAACAGCTTGTTTATATTTATGTATACATATGTGCATATATATATATATATTTTTTTTTTTTAATGGATGATGGTGGGAATCAGATCACTGCTGTTGTTAGTTGTCGTCGAGTCAGTTCTGACTTACAGAGACCTTATGTACAACAGAAGGAAACACTGCTGGTCCTGTGCCACCCTCACAATTGTTGTTATGCTTAAGCCCATTGTTGCAGCCACTGTGCCAATCTATCTCATTGAGGGTCTTTCTCTTTTTCACTCACCTTCTACTTTACCAAGCATGATGTCCTTTTCCAGGGACTGGTCCTTCCTAATAACATGTACTCACTTCTAAGGAGCATTCTGGCTCTACTTCTTCCAAGACATATTTGTTCGTTCTTCCGGAAGTCTGTGGTATATTTAATATTCTTCACCAACATAATTCAAAGGCATCAATTCTTCTTCAGTCTTCCTTATTCATTGTCCGGCTTTCACATGCATGTGAAGCAACTGAAAATATCATGACTTGAGTCAGGGGCACCTTAGTCCTCAAAGTGACATCTTTGCTTTGTAACAGTTTAAGAGGTCTTTTGCAGCAGATTTGCCTGATGCAATACTTCCTTTATTTCTTGACTGCTGTTTCCATGGGTGTTTAATGTGGATCTAAGTAAAATGGAATTCTTGACAACTTCAATATTTGGAGAAAATATTTATCGTGATGTTGCTCATTGGTCCAGTTGTAAGGATTTTTATTTTCTTTACATTGAGGTGATCAAATCACCTACTGAATTTATATTCAATCAGATACATTTAATAAAGTGATACAAACTTAAAAATGCCATTCTTTCCAATATTCAGGATATTATATCATTTGTAATGATTTAAACTTTCAGTAAAATACTTTAGATGTCATCTAAAAATTTGGAAGGGTACATAGCTTTTCTTTTACAATTTTATTTTATATGGATACATTTAATAAAGTGATATAAACTTAAAAATGTCATTCTTTCTAATATTCAGGATATTATATCATTTGTAATGTTTAAAACTTTCAGAAAATTGTTTAAATGTCATCTAAAAATGTGGAAAGGTACATAGCTTTTCTTTTCCCAATTTTTTTATATGAAATAATAATATTTTATTTCATTTTAAGTACTGAAACCACAGTATTGAGTATGCAACTAATAACAAAGCAGTTTAATGTTGGCAGTGGTTGGGTGAGTGGGCTCTGAAATGAGATTCCCTGGATTGATATGTATGGTGTACCAACATAACAGATCACCTTCTTTAATTTACCTCAGTCTCCCCATCTGGGGAATGGGGATTACGGTGAGAAGTATATGAAATCATGTAGAAAAAGTGGCAGGCATTTGACAAGGACTCAACAATGCTTTGATAAAATTATTATATCCTCCAAATTACCCTGGTGCCAGATGCAGCCAAATGTTCTTGTTTTTGTTAGGTACCTTCGAGTCGCTTCTGACTCATAGCGACCCTGTGTACAATAGAATGAAACACTAGCTGGTCCTGCATCAGCCTCACAACTGTTGTTATGCTTGCTCTTTTACAGATTTTTAACAAACTGCTGAAGACTACTGGTGTATACAGTGGAATATGGACTTAGAGTCAGATAGAGCTGCTCGAATTCTTATCATGTCATGATGGGCAAGTAATAGAACCACTCTGAGCCTTTTTCCTGTTAAATAAATATCAGGTAGCAGAGATCACATCTTGAGTCTCAGAGATTCAGCTGTGACAGGCATTTCTGATGAAACTGCATTTCTGATGACCCAACAGAAATGTACTTGCAGAAGCACTGAAGAGCCACTTTGCTTAGATCTTTCTTCTCCTTCCTTTGTTCTCCTCTTTCCCCTCCCAATCTCCCTCACCTTTTTGTTCTTCTCTTTTTCTTCCTCCTCCTTTTTCTTGTAATAGCAAGCAGGGTCTCATGTGAAGGGTGAGATCACTCTTGAATTCCGTGCCCTGGAAACCAGATTTGTCTGTCAAGCAGGATCCCAAAGAACTCTGGGGACTACTGAGTCCCACCAATTTCAACATCCACAGGGATGATCCACTAAACCCTCTAGACTCACAGT